TGACGTGTAACGTTTTTGACGTGGTGACGTTGTTTTTTTTCTGTTGTTTCAAGTGTTTTTTTGCAGTTTTGGGTAGTATGGTCACGAGGTCCCGTTTTGGCATGTGTCGGGCCTTCGAAATACCCGCCCCGGGAGACGGGAGACGTTTGACGTGTGCCATGGAACGTGTGACGTGTGACGTTGTTGACGTGTTAAGGTACTGGTGACGTGTGACGGGTGACGGTGTAACGTGTGACGTGTTGACGTGTGATTTTTTCTGTGTTTTCTAGTGTTTTTTTGCAGTTTTGGGTAGTAATGGTCCCGGGAGGTCCCGTTTGGCATGGTGTCGGGCCTTCGAAAACCCGCCCCGGGAGACGTGTGACGTGTGACGTGTGACGTGTGACGTGTGACGTGTGACGGGTGACGTGTGGCGTGTGACGGTGACGTGTGACGTGTGACGTGTGACGTGTAACGTGTGACGTGTGACGTGTGTTTTTTTATGTGTTTCTAGTGTTTTTTTTGCAGTTTTGGGTAGTAATGGTCCCGGGAGGTCCCGTTTGGCATGGTGTCGGGCCTTCGAAAACCCGCCCCGGGAGACGTGTGACGTGTGACGTGTGACGTGTGACGTGTGACGGGTGACGGTGACGTGTGCGTGTGGACGGTGACGTGTGACGTGTGACGTGTGACGTTTAACGTGTGAGTGTGACGTGTGTTTTTTTTTTTCTGTGTTTCTAGTGTTTTTTTGCAGTTTTGGGTAGTAATGGTCCCGGGAGGTCCCGTTTGGCATGGTGTCGGGCCTTCGAAAACCCGCCCCGGGAGACGTGTGTCGTGTGACGTGTGACGTGTGACGTGTGACGTGTGACGGGTGACGTGTGGCGTGTGACGGTGACGTGTGACGTGTGACGTGTGACGTGTAACGTGTGACGTGTGACGTGTGTTTTTTTCTGTGTTTCAAGTGTTTTTTTGCAGTTTTGGGTAGTAATGGTCACGGGAGGTCCCGTTTGGCATGGTGTCGGGCCTTCGAAAACCCGCCCCGGGAGACGGGAGACGTGTGACGTGTGACGTGTGACGTGTGACGTGTGACGTGTGACGTGTGACGGGTGACGTGTGACGTGTGACGTGTGACGTGTAACGTGTGACGTGTGACGTGTGTTTTTTTCTGTGTTTCTAGTGTTTTTTTGCAGTTTGGTTAGTAATGGTCCCGGGAGGTCCCGTTTTGGCATGTGTCGGGCCTTCGAAAACCCGCCCCTGGAGACTGGTGACGTGTGGACGTGTGACGTGTGACTGTGACGTTGTGACGTGTGGCGTGTGGACGGTGACGTGTGACTGTGGCCGTGTGACGTGTAACCGTGTGACGTGTGACGTGTGTTTTTTTTCTGTGTTTCCAGTTTTTGTTTGGCCGTTTTGGATAGTAATGGTCCACGGAGTCCCGTTTTGCATGGTGTCGGGCCTTCGAAAACCCGCCCCGGGGAGACGGGAGACGTGTGCCGTGTGACGTGTGCCGTGTGACGTGTACGTGTGACGGTGACGTGTGGGCGTGTGGACGGTGACGTGTGAACGTGTGACGTGGGTGACGTGTAACGTCGTGACGTGTGACGTGTGTTTTTTTCTGTGTCTTCTAGTGTTTTTTTTTTTTTTGCAGTTTTGGGTAGTAATGGTCCCGGGAGGTCCCGTTTGGCATGGTGTCGGGCCTTCGAAAACCCGCTTCGGGAGACGTGTGACGTGTGACGTGTGACGTGTGACGTGTGACGGGTGACGGGTGACGTGTGGCGTGTGACGGTGACGTGTGACGTGTGACGTGTGACGTGTAACGTGTGACGTGTGACGTGTTTTTTTCTGTGTTCTAGTGTTTTTTTGCAGTTTTGGGTAGTAATGGTCCGGAGTCCCGTTTGGCAATGGTGGTCGGGCCTTCAAAACCCGCCCCGGGAGGACGTGTGTATGATGCCTGTGGACGTGTGACGTGTGACGGTGACGGGTGACATGTGGCTGTGACGGTGAACAGAGTGCGTGTGACGTGTGACGTGTAACGTGTGACGTGTGACGTGTTTTTTTCTGTGTTTCTAGTGTTTTTTTGCAGTTTTGGGTAGTAATGGTCCCGGGAGGTCCCGTTTGGCATGGTGTCGGGGCCGGCGCCAGAGCCGGTTCCGGCGCCGACCGGCGCCAGAAAATTGAATTCCGAGATAACGTCGAAAAAAGGCCACCCTAGAACACATTTTTCTTTTAAGAATATTGAATTTCTGCGATCAGCGCCCGGGAACCCTTCCAGGCCGATTCGAACACTTGGGCCAGCGCTCGGGAGATCCCGTTTGGCATGATGTCGGGCCCATGGGCGCTTCTTCCCAATGGTCCCGTTTGGCATGGTGTCGGGCCCATGGAGGCCCCTCCCGGAGATATCGTTTGGCATGATGTCACGAACACGCCCCGAAAATTTGGTCCCGGGAGGTCCCGTTTCGCATGGTGTCGGGCCCCCTAGACCCGCCCCGGGAGATTCCGTTTGGCATGGTTTCACGATCACACCCCGAAAATTTGGTCCCGGGAGGTTCCGTTTGGCATGGTGTCGGGCCCCCTAGACCCGCCCCGGGAGATTCCGTTTGGCATGGTGTCGGGCCTATGAGGGCCTCTCCCGGAGATATCGTTTGGCACGATGTCACGGATCACGCCCCGAAAATTGGTTCCCGGGAGATCCCGTTTCGCATGGCGTCGTGCCCCCTAGACCCACCCCGGGAGATTCCGTTTGGCATGGTGTCAAGCCATCGAACCCGCCCCGGGAATTCCGTTGGGCATAGTGTCACGAATCACGTCCCGAAAATTTGGTCACAGGGCCCATTGGGGGGTTCCCAGAAAACCCCGTCCGCGACGGATGCTCTCCCGTGGGGAATCTGGGCCAGATTCTCCACGGAAAACCACCCGCCGCGGACAGATCATTTGGGGAGGTTCCTAGCGGATCTCAGGCAGAATAGAGGCGTCACAGGCGTCATCGAGCGTCAGCCGAATAAAGGCGTCAGAGGAATAGAGGCGTCACGGGCGTCATCGGTCTTCAGGCGAATAGAGGCGTCAGGCAGAATAGAGGCGTCAGGAGCGTCAGCGGGCGTCAGCCGAATAGAGGCGTCAGCCAGAATAGAGGCGTCACAGGCGTCATCGGGCGTCAGCCGAATAAAGGCGTCAGAGGAATAGAGGCGTCACGGGCGTCATCGGTCTTCAGGCGAATAGAGGCGTCAGGCAGAATAGAGGCGTCAGGAGCGTCAGCGGGCGTCAGCCGAATAGAGGCGTCAGACCGAAAAGGCGTCACGGGTGTCAGCGATCGTCTGGCCCATAGGAACGACAGGGCAAATACGGCGCCGAGCGAATAAAGGCGTCAGACGAATAGAGGCGTCAGAGGCGTCATCGGGCGTCAGGCCAATAGAGGCGTCAGCCAGAATAGAGGCGTCACAGGCGTCATCGAGCGTCAGGCGAATTGAGTCTTCAAATAGAGTCTTCAAAACAATAGAGTCTTCAAATAGAGTCTTCATCTTCAGGCCGAATGGGGAACCCACCGGGCCACCCCCCTGTATATATATATATATACACATAGAGATGTACGCATCGAAACAACTAACATCAAAACACTGACTTGCCAGCACGGCGCAACCATACGCGGTATATCAACGCAGCAGCGTACAGCCTCTGACATTGTCCTTGGATGTTGCTTCCGCTGGAAATTCCTGGGGTGTCTACTGCGGGTGTGGAAAGGCCAGCGCGAATTCTCTTTAGCCATTTTGGACCGTTGTGGTAATATGTCATGTTCCAGGGCCCACTGGAAATCATGCCGGGCTTGAAGTGTTTAGGGCCATAATCAAGCAATATTGGTTTGCGAGCTATTTGAACGGATGGTTCGCGCGCGTTGGCCCTGGGAGCCCCCTTTCATTTTCTCTCGGAAACCTTTCGACGATGCATCTGTGACACGCAGCTATCAAGCCTTGAAGGCGGCATTAGGTGAATGTGCCGGCGATTTTCGATGCGTGGCCGATAGCCGGATTATGGGTCACGCGGGCGGACTTTTAGCTTTTGCGCAGTTTTTTGCCAAAGCAATCCTCGCGGCCATGCTTGATTACTAGATCCTCTGGTGTGATGTGGTCTGATCACAACGGAAACTCCCTGGTTAATATATCATCTGGTGTGATGTGGTCTGATCACAACGAAAACTGCCAGGACACTAGGTTCAGTCGACTTGGTTGCTGGGTTTTGTCTGGTAGCCTTGAGCCGGCTCCGAAGATAACATACAAATCACAAATGAAGTTCGACAATGTGTAAGAGTGTCTGGAAAGCTCGAGCACAGCTGCCGGTCCCGCCGGGCATGACATGGAGGAGCAGGAGGGGCCGACAGGAGGGAAGGGGCTCGACAAACACATAACCAGTCATACTGTTTAGGAGGGCCTGACCACAACCAAGAAAAGAGTGTGTGTGTGTGTGTGTGCGTCTGTGTGGGTGTTTGTGTTAGTGTGTTCAGTGCGGTCCCCTCCGCAGTTTGCAGGCGGTGGTGCTCTTCGCTTCCCTGACCAGTTGATGTCTTCGTCAGCGTGGAGGTGCTGAGATCCTCGGGGCACAGTTGGTGTCGTCCCCTCTCGAGCGGTTCTCCGCAGGGCTTGCGTTGAGCCTATCTCCGGGATGTGCCCCGTCGAGGCCGTTTCGTAGGACCCTTCCTTGTCTCTCGTCTTTCTGTCTGTCAGTCTGTCTGTCTGTCCGTTTGCTTCTCGCTCTCTCTCTCTCTCTCTCTCGTCCGCCATCCCATCCGCTGCTGCGATCTAGGAGATTCGCATGGAATGCAGGCGACCACTATACGATGCCTCTGCGCGACTTGCCGCCGATGTGCGCGCGTGTGCATGTATGTGTGCGCATTTGTGTGTGCATGTGTCTGTTCTTGCTGTCGCCATCTGTCAGTCAAGTATGATGCGGACTCGTCGAGCATGGCGGTGGGTAGCGCGGTCTCTTTCTCTCATTGTCTCTGTCTCTCTCAGACAGACAAGAGGGTTGTTGCTGGAAAGGTGGCAGCCGCACCGCGTTGTCGCGCCGCACTGGCGGCAGCCGTACCGTTGCCAACACGAACAGCGGTCGCAAGGCGCACTCGCAGAATGCCGCATCGTTGCAGATTCTGGCTTCACTTCTGCTTCACAGCCGTACCGCGGTGCGCTCTGCCACCCCACAGGTATGATCACCGCCGTCTGCTGTGTCGCCAGATTGCCGCTTCTCTGTCCTGCATTCGTTGCCGCTAAGCCGTTCAGTTATACATCGTTCCGTAGTGATCTGTGCGTGTGTTTTTGTGCGTTATCAAATAGGTAGGTCGCAGAACAAGCGATGTTGATTCAAGTGGCCATTTGGGTCAAAGAGGCTATCGTCGCTCGATTGCCGAACACCCCAGACTTGTGCAGGCGAACCGATCGGAACATTAAACGAATGGTGGAAGGCATATTGTTCTCCGTTGTTCCATGGTGGTTGCTCTTCATTGTTGTTGGTGTTTCGTTCGCATGCTCGTCGCGTGATGGTTCCATTCGCTTGTATCTATTCGCAGACATTATCACGGGCTCACGGGCCAGTGCGCGTCCGCTTTCATCTATGCAGGGCGAAGGAGTCCCAGGTGTTGGGTGCACAGGCTCCAGGGAGAGTACATTGCATGGCGCGAGCCAGTCGACCAGCTCAGGGTGCACTGAAGTGATTCCGCATGGTCGCAAGGTGCTTTTGTATGGCGCTATGGGTCGTCGGGCCACTGGGGGGAATCCAGTATAAGGTTCTTATGGATCCACCGTACAAGGCACGCGGCCGCAGCAGCGGGGCGCTCATCGTGGGCCGAACTCGGGGCCCGCGCACGCGCCGCGAGGAGGAGGAGGAGGAGGATGCGGAGGAGGAGGAGGACGGGGTGAAGAGGTGGAGGGAGCTGGAGGGATGAACGGGAGGGGGGAGAGGAGCCCCATACGGCCCCATAGGGAGCCCCACCGAATGCCCCAGCGGGATGGTTCGCATGGCACCGCCGCCCCATTTCGGCACACCCCTCACACGTTTCGTGGCCCCATATCCTATAGGAGGCTCCACCGAAGAAGGCCCCATCGGGATGGTTCGCAGGGCACCGCCGCTCCATTTCGGCACACCCCTTACACGTTTCGCGCCCCCATAGGGAGCTCCACCGAAGGCAACATTGGCTGCGGTCGCATGGCACCGCCGCCCCACTTCGGCACACCCCTCACACGCTTCGCGGCAAGATATGGAGCCCCACCGAAGGCTCCATCGGGAGGGTTCGCTTGGCACAGCCGCCACATTTCGGCGCACCCCTCACGTGCTTCGTGGCCCCACAGGGAGCTCCACCGAAGGCCCTTTTGGCTGCGTTCGCATGCGGCAACACCCCTCAGTTCGGCACACCCTTCACACGCTTCGTGGCCCCATAGGGAGCCCCACCTGAGACGGTAATCACAATTGCATTTTGCACAATTGCACATGGTTGGGCCCATCGCCAGGATATTTTGACACCAGTTTGGGCACCACGAAGAAGTCGTGTGCCCATTGGCGCGCACTCTAGCTCGCCAGCTCTTTCCTCGGAGGCGGGGGAACAGCTGAGGGTTTATGATTGCGTGGCGTGTGCATGCGTGTTCGTGTGTGCGTACGTGTGTTTGCGTGTGCGTGTATATATGGGATCGGAGGGGGAGCGTCAGGCCTCAACAAGTCCCCCCTTCCCCCATCTCCCCTTCCCCCCTCCCCTCTCTCAATACTTCTCCCCCTCTCCCGCCCTCCACCCCTCTCTCCCATCCCCCCTCCACCCTCAACCCTCCTGGAGAGGGGGGCAGAACGTATATATGCTGATTTGGAACTGGGGCTCGAGCTCGCGCTCATGGAGCAATGCGCCACCCCGCCAAGGTGGGCCTCGCGCGAACGGGGCAATGTGCTTGCCGCCCCGCGCCAAGGTCGGCCCCCGCTCTCCACCCTGGTTTCCGCGGCCCCGCGGTGATCCACGCAGTGAGCGTGCTTCTTGCTGGTGTCGAACGCGGTGATCCACGCAGCGAACATTATGTCCGCTGGTGTCGACCGTGGTGATCCACGCAACGTGCTGGTTTTTCCAGGCTCGATCGGCCCTGGTGTTCCACGCATGCATGCTGACTGGTTTCCGTGGGGTGAAGGGGGGTTCCTTTGGGCGGGCGCGGGCCCCCGCTTTTACGCACGCACAGTGCACGCACGCACGCACGCACGCACGCAGGCACGCACACGCACACGCACACGCACACGCACACGCACACGCACACGCACACGCACACACACACACACACACACACGCACACGCACGCACGCACGCACGCACACGCACGCACACGCACACACACACACACACACACACGCACACACACACACACACACACGCACGCACACACACACACACACACACACACACACACACACACACACACACACACACACACACACACACACACACACGCACATAGGAGGATCGATCTTGAAGGAGATATAGGTGTGGTTCGGAGAGGATCGGCCAACTCGGTTTGGCGCTGCATGATGTTTAGGATACGCACTCCTGCAGGATGCACCCTTCCCTCCCTCAACGCACACACGCTCACGAGCGCGCGCGCGCGCACGCAGAGACACACAAACAAGAACGCGCGCTTGCTGTCAAGGTAAAACGCTTTATGCCGTCAGGGCGTCATGACAAGAGCACGCACATGCACACACACAAACACACACACACACACACGCACACTCTCGATCCATTAGTCTTGCTGGCGGGCGAGTGGCCAGCTGCCGCCTCCGATCTGAGTGGCGCCGCTTCTCGCCGTGCTTCGCTCAGCCCTTCGCTTCGGCCAACAGTTTTTCTAAGCCAGCTGCCGTTCTGATCAGAGCGGCGCCGCTTCCCCCGTTTCACCTTGCCCCTTCTTCACGCATGTAATGTTGGAATTTTCTTCCAAACTGCTATATGGAATGACCCAGCAGGTGGCTGCGGGCCACCACCCACCGCAAGGCTGAATTCAGGGATATTCGCCGCAGGGTCCTCGATGCGAAAAAATGCATTCGCCCAGGGCCCCAAGGCCCCAATGCCAAAAGGCCCCAAAGCCCCTCGGGGATATTCGCCCAAGGCCCCTGGACGCCAGTGGATCTCCTCCCTCCAGTACTCCTCCCTCCAGCTGTCTTGCCACCGCCGCGATAGCGCTGCCAAGCAGCTGTGATCGCATCGTTCCTCCTCCCATCAGTTTCCCCAATCAGAGCTTGCCTCTGTGGGGGTCCCAGCGGATTCATATGGTCAGGTTAGGTTTGCCGCCGATTTTCGGTGCACGCCGGGGTGCCCGGGGGTGCCCGGGTGCCCGGGCGTGCCCGGGCGTGCCCGGGCGTGCCCGGGGGTGCCCGGGTGCCTGGGGGTGCCCGGGGGTGCCCTATAGCCTCATAGCCCTATAGCCCAATAGCCCTATAGCCCAATAGCCCTACAGCTCTATAGCCCTATAGCCCTATAGCCCTTTAGCTTTTTTGCCCTATAGCCGTGTAGCCCTATAGTTCTATAGCCCTACACCACTATACCGTGAAGTCCTATAGCCCTATAGCCTTGCAGCTCTATTACCCTACGGCCCAATAGCCCTATAGCCCATATAGCCCTATAGCCCTACAGCCCTACAAATATTATGATTGGGTTTTTTCTCTGGTATCATTATTTTCCCTCCTTGAAGCACGGCCTCGTGTCGAAACACGACATGAGCCGGGGTACTATTCGTCTGGGGACCCTCAGGGGCCGCCCCGCCCGCGCGAACTGGAAATGGTGTTTACCAGTAGCCGGAGATCTTAGCACGCTTTTGGCCCGTTGGGCCGGCGAATTTGTTTGCTTATGTCTTCATGTATTCATCCATCTGCTATGTATTGAGTTATCCACGTACGCCTTTTTTGTTGTATTTAGTTATGCATGTATTTACCTATTTGTTGTTTTATGTGTTCATGTTCGGATATGTATGTATGTATCGGTGTATATGTATCTATATTACACATAGCTGTGTTTCTTTGTATGTATGTCTGTCTGTCTGTCTGTCCGTCTGTGTGTCTGTCTGTCTGTCTGTCTGTCTGTCTGTCTGTCTGTCTGTCCATATGTATGTATGTATGTATGTATGTATGTATGGATGGATGGATGGATGGATGGATGTATGTATGTATGTGTGTATATACACACATATATATATATATAGATGCTTGTATGTGTAAAGATATCTAAAGTACAGGCCCGCGGCCCCCAAACATTTGCCTCCATTGGGAGACTGTGGGGCTCCGGGGGTTCTGCCGGGGCGCCGAGGGCTCCCTAAGATCGCCCGAGGACGGCCTCCGGATCGCCAAACATGGTGCTTCCAGACAACGGGAACGACCAATGGCGGCCAAAACGGCCAAGGCGGCCAGAATTAGCCCCTGACCATCCAAGAGGCCTCCAAGACGCCCCCAGAAACCTCCAAGATGCCTCCAAAGGAGCCCCAGGAGGCACAACTTATTGATTCTGCAAATGGTTTTTGGAGGATTTCCAAGTTCTCGCCTTTTCAGTTTTCCGACGCTCCACGACGGCCCAGAGGCTGTACGGTCCACTCCAAGACAGCCCCAGAAGCCTCGAACCCGGCCCAAGAGGGCCCCAAGACGGCGCCAGAGGCGCACATGACGGCCCGAGAGGGCCTTAGCTCCACTGAAGGCCCCAGAGGGGGTGTCTGCATGCGTCCGCCACACCCAGTGCAGCGCTTCGTTGCCCCAAAGGGAGCTCCACCGAAGGTCCCAGTGACGCAGCCCGCATGCGTCTCCCACACCCAGTACAGCGCTTCGTGGCCCCATAGGGAGCTCCACCGAAGGTCCCAGTGGCGCAGCCCGCATGCGTCTCCACCCACCCAGTACAGCGCTTCGTGGCCCCATGGGGAGCTCCACCGAAGGTCTCACTTGCGCAGCCCGCATGCGTCTCACCCACCGAGTACAGCGCTTCGTGGCCCCATAGGCAGCTCCGACGAAGGTCCCAGTGGCGCAGCCCGCATGCGTCTCCCCCACAGCAGTACGGCGCTTCGTGGCCCCATGGGGAGCTTTACGCAGCTTCCAGTGGCGCAGTCCGCATGCGTCTCC